GAAAAAAAGAAAGAAAGAGGGAAACACTGAGGAAGATGAAGGTGGTCAAAGCAACAGGCCCGACGACTTGCCCTCTGATCTGTGAAAGTCACAACGCTGATTCTTTGCAAAGTGGCTGACAGAGCACTTCAACGAGATTGTCAAATAGAAGGGAGCAGAGCAAGACGATCCCCATCTGTAAGGAGAAAGGCAGCCTGATGCCGCCGTACAATTCGTCTGCTCTCGCACACCATGAAACTCTTCGAGCGAGTTGTTGACGCCGGTGCTCATGATATCGTCCAGTAAATTTTTTTCCACCAGTAAATGCGGCTAGGCTTCGTGGTGGGCTGAAGCACCGTCGACGTTTTACACGCCTCTCACCGTCTGCTGAAGAAACATCGTGAGAAGCCGTGCATGCAGTGAGTATAAAAGAGTGAAATATAGTTTTCAGACCTGAGAAAGCATTTGATCGCCTTCTTCGTAACGCCATATGGTGCGCCTTTCGACAACACGGCGTCCTCCGAAAAGCCAGTCGGATAGATCCGCATCCTTCTATTCAAATCCAGAGACGCGGTCCGAGCACCTGCGGGCATCTAAGAGAAGTCCCTCATCACCGTTAGGTACATTAAGGCTCTACGCTATCTTCGCTCCTATTCCTCGTCATCATGGACACCATATAAGGAGATCTACAAAAATAACCCTTGGATGCTCCCTTAAGCTGATGATGTGATGCTTGCCAGTGAAGACAAGAGCACACTCTTACAACAAGTGCAAAGTGGAGTCGATTGCTTGGCGAAGTTTGGACTCAGATTGAAGGTCAAAAAGACCGAGTTTTGAGAAACGATACAGATGAGTCCGGTTCCTTGAGAGTGGTGACACAGAGCTGTTGCGCGGAAGAATATTCAAGAATCACGGATTAGCAACGCGTCTCATGGCCGTCTGTACTCACCAGGAAAGGTCACAGGTCAGCCTAGCCATTTGCAATGAGGTGCACATCGTACTCGTCTTGAGACGGTGAACTCAAAACTATCTTCAAAATTTGCGGAACGATTCTCTGAGCGGAGTTATGGAGGTTTTTCTTTACTGTTTTTCTTCTTACGGGCGCTGGCGCCGAAGCGTTGGCACCTGTAGCGCGACTCACAGCGCTCTTCGCGCAAAACAGGTATCATATTCGTGTTCAGAAAGTCAAATAACCCCCAATAATAGAGACAATAATAGAGACGATAATAGACGGCACCTAAGCGAAATGTGAGGTTCTGACTCAGCTTCGAAAAATTGGGGTAAGGTTAGTCATGGCTGATTGGTAGCCAGCAGCGATGCTGCGACAAGCATACTGGATGACTGGTTTTCGAGCTGAAATAACCTTCAGTCATGTCTTTCTGCGAAGGATAACACCTGGCTCACTTATTCGTGCCGCCTGCATCATTTTCCTGATTATCGGTAGGAAATTCCATCCAAGACTAGTCA